ACTTAAATTAATAAGTTATTGATACTATTTTTTTTGTTATTTTATTAAAAATATTTTAATATATTCATAAAACGAATTATACTTTTATTTTATAATAGGAAATTATTAATTTCAGGAATATTCATGTACTTTAATTTTACGAAAAGTATTTTTTTTGAAAAATAAATAGTCCATATATATGGCCGAGAAAATACACAATATTACGATTCTACCCATCGATAAAGCACTGCTACTACTACTGTAGAGTTGTCATCAGTGGGAGAAAGGGAGGCAGAAGCCAGTGCCGGCCAAAGAAGACGAACAAATTTCTTTCCCATTTTTCCGATCCCATTCTCGATTCCGACCTCGATCCAAGCTCCCCGACGATGAGTACCATGAAATATTGCTGCGACTGGTTCGTCATTGTCAAATCTTGTTCCTGCATTCGCATTCAGTGCATTTCTTTGATAATTCCTTCAGGTTTTCTCCTCTTTTTGTACTGAAATTTTTATGATTTTTCCTGTTAATGAAGCAACAACATTCTGTATCCCAAGGAAGACAAGGAGCAGAGAATCCTCCTCTACGCCTGCCAGAACTGCGACCACCAGGTCAATTTCTTCGCTTTCTATTTCGATCAAGTAGACAAGGGTTTCCTTTTATTTTACCTTTTTTTTGTGATTTTAATAATTTTTTTCAAGCCAGTGGTTGGTTGATTCAGTGTTATTAAACCATTCGAAAAACCCTAATTTGTCTTTTCTCTGTTACTTTCTTGCTTTTCAGTTGGGAAATTGGTGTTTGGTTAGGTTTAAGATGTTGAGTGTACATTTGTAAGGTTAAAGCTATATTTAACAGGAAAATGTAGCTAAGCACTATCATCTTTACTGGTTAAAAAAAGGGAACAAAAAGGATTTGTCTGCTTTTCCTTTGCTGCCTGTAATTTCCTCATGGCCGAAATCAATTAGTCTCCATTTAAATTGTGTAATTTCTCATTGTTTTTTAAGCTGAATTTTATTTTATCGATTTTGTGGTGCAACTTTTTAAAATCTTAATAGCTAAGGCTCCTTTTAGTATGATTGTGGTTTTGGGTTTTTGGTTTTTATTTATATATATATATTTAGTAACTAGTATTATATTTAAATTAGATTTAATAAATTTGAAATTTTACAATAAATTTTGATTTGTAAATATGGTAATAGTTGTCAAATATATAAAAAATGAGAACTCAAAATGCAAAACCGAAAACCATACTAAATTGAGGTTAAGTTTTATTATACTTATGCATGTGTGGTTGTGGAATGTAATAACTAATAAGTAAATGATTTATGTCTTCTAGTCTCTTTCCTTGTAGGCATCTCATTGGCTTAGATTCAGAGTATTTTTCCTTATCATAATTAATTGTTCTTTAGTTAATTGTGAAAATTTTGGAAGTACAGTTAATTGACCGATATAATAGAAATTGAAGCTTGTTTCTATTGATATTTTGACTATAGGTTGTAAGATTACGAATAGGATGTTTTTCAGGCTATTTTATGTATTTATTTATTCTTCCAACGCCATGCAGGAGATAGCTGATAGCAATTGTGTGTATAAAATTGAGGTGCACCACTCTTTTGGAGAGCACACTCAAGAATTGCAGGATGTAGCTGCAGATCCAACTCTTCCTCGAACTAAATCTGTCCAGTGTGCAAAATGTGGGAATGGAGAAGCTGTCTTCTTCCAGGTCTAGCCTCCTAAACCCTTTAATTGAATCATTGACAGCATGTCTCAATTGATGGACATGGTGGCTTTGGTAATAGGAATATATCCTCATTGTTTGTTGTGTGGAGGATGCATGTTTTTGAGTGGAAGCAAGAACTCATAGACATGATATAGCCTAGTTCTTATTTATTGGTCTTCTCCCATGATTTCAACCATCAAAGCCATGAGAAGCCTGTCCCCACCTGCTTATTCAAGTCATTTTTGGCTTACAGCAGGACAGAAGTTTATAAATTACCCAGAGAGTTGTTTAAAATATCTAATCTAAATTCTCTTTTTGCGATGCATTTATGGAGAGAAGCATATTATCATCTATTACATAAGTCAATCCGTCTTATGGAAAATTTCTAGATAGTTTGCTCAGTGACAAAACTGATTAGGAAAGTTTGAACTGGTAGGGAAGGTAAGTAAAGTAGGAAGAGATTTAACTGATTTAGCTGGATTTATTCTCTGTACCTTTTCCTTGAAAATGCTAAAGAGATTTTATTGCCTTGTACCTAATTATTGGTTGTCTTAAATCTTTCTTCTCCCATTCTACAATGACTCTTGCAATGACATTATGGTAAGCATGAGAAGCTATTATTCCTCTCTTTTTTTTTTTCCCTCAGTTTTCATTTTAACGACTTTAATTCTATTCTCTTTTGTATCATACTTCCTCACGTTTCATGTGGATTGTACTGCTCGCAATGTGCTTGTGGTGTGGGAGGATTGTATCACTTTTACTAATAATAAAAAAAAAAAACTTCTCTGTGTATCTGCAGGCAAACGCTAAAGGAGAAAAAGATATAACGCTCGTCTTTGTGTGTTGTAAACCAAACTGTGGACATCGTTGGAGGGATTGACATTTTCATAAGTTGATGCTCGGTAATTTTGTAACGGTCGGTTTTCCTGAACTAGCACTTTAGGATTTTGCAGTAAGCTTGTTTGGAAGTTAAGATCTTCAACCTGAACATGCATCATCATTTTCATGCTAACTTTTGAATATTTAACGCGGTTTAGAATCTTCATCCAAGCAGAAAAGGGTGGTGATTTTTCCGAATTCCTTCGTGCTTTCTGCATGAACCATCATGAATCATCCTCGTCCCTGCCTGTTGGTGGCATTTTTCTTTCCCTTTTGTTCTTTAAGAGGAAAAAGAAATGAGGGTGTGACATATTTGATTTTTTTAAATAAAAAAAATTTAAAAATAATAGAAGGATAAATTCTGTTACAATTGCATTGAGCTCTGTTAGACTTGGTAATTTTTTACCCAACTCGTTAACTTACCGATTACCTGCCTGTTTAAAACGGGTTAGGGTCATATATTTATGACCCGTGACCTGTTGATGACTCGTTAAGAAAACCCAATAGGTCATGGGTCAATAAATGGGTTGACTCATCGGGTTAACGGGTTTGATCCGTTTACCCGTTTAAAAATATACAAATTTTTAATTTTTAATTTATTTATTTTGTTTTCCAATTCCCAATCCTACCTAAACCTCTAATAATTAATTAATATTTCTTAATTAACTAATTGATTCTCTTGACTCATCATTTTTTAAAAGTAAAAATAATTTCACTTCACTCATAACTCACCTTTCGACATTTCCTATTCTTGCTTGTTCTAATACTCTCGAAGACTCTAACTCTTCAAACTCTAACTCCTCAAACTTCAAACTCTTTTTATATTCTTCAACTTCCATAGTTCATACAGTCTTTGACTTTCAAATTTCGGCTCCACTTTTTCTCTTTAATCTTTAACATTATTTCAGACTTAAATCTTAGTTTTATTGAGTCACTGTTGCATCCACTCAGCCTTTTCTTTTTTTCTCCTATGAGTCTAGCAAGTGCTCTTTTTGTCACCAACTTTTCTCTCTAAATACTTCAAGGTAAGTTGTTTACTTATTTATGCTTTTTAGTTTTCTTTCCATTCTAAGTAAAAATTTTACTTGATTTTCTCCTTTACTTAGATGCATTCAATTAATTATTCTTTGAAAGTAATGACCAAAACAAATATGTTCCAATGGGGTTTGTGTTTTTTGGTTGTTATGCTACTACTGCTTTTTTTTTTTGCTATTGAGATTTATAAGTGTTGTGTTCTTGAATTTAATTAGCGTTGTTCTTTGAAAGAAAATAAAGAAAATGATTCTGAGGAATTATAAATATGTATATATTAAATTAATAAGAAAAATTATTTTTATAAGATGTTGAATTTCTTTTTTAAATCTTTTAAATAATTTTTTTGAATGATAATAAGTACAAATTATAGAGAGAAGAAAAAAAATTTAATTGAGTCAACCCGCAGGTTGACCTGTGACCCATGATGGGCGGGTTAGGATTTACCTTCACTAACCCGTGACCCGTTTTAACACAACCCATTTTGACTCGTTACCCGTTTTGACCCGACCATAACCCGATTCAACTCGCCTGTTTGTCAGGTCTAAACTCTGCTTTTCTTTTCAATTCTTTTTTTTTTTTTTCTCCAGTTTCCCAAAGCAAGTGGCAAAATGATAAATGCATTAAAAATATTAGTTATTATTTATAAAAAAATTATTGATTATATTTTCAATCTATATATACTGCATGCAGCGCTCACGTGTGTTCGTGTGGAAAATGTTAGGCCCGATCTTAAGAAACGGATGAAATCCCTCTTAATAATATCTATTAAATATACCATCAAAAAAATGTCTATAAAATAAAATTGCTGAAGGCCCATTAACAGGAAGATCTGGGCCAATTTAAGCAGGCCATCGGCCTGTCCCGTTTAGTGAAATAATCAAGTGACCTTTATCGAACGTAATTCAGGTAAGTTGACAAGCCCAGGCCAAGAAATAAGAGTAATGCTGATCAGCTGACCTCAGATGAACCTTAGAAAAAAAGAAAAAAAAAAAGAACTCGACAAACTGAAAATTTGCTAAAATGTAAGCATAGATCTTTCCTGTCATTATAAATGATGACAATTGTTTATCTTATTTACCCAAAAAAAAAAAAGAAGGACAATTGTTCATCTTACAAGAATGAACTTTCCAGTGGAACTGATTTCCCCTGAGAACTTAATCCCCAAGCTCAAAAGAATCCGGAGTATAATCACCTCCCAAAACTGGACCTCAGGGCAATAAAAAATTATAGAAAAAATTATATACAAAAGAAATTTGAGACAAAGCACTCTGTAGGTTGGTCCCCCAATAATTGCTGTGTCAATCTCTATGAGGGCTCCAAAGATGATAGCGTCTGCCTAAACCACTCTGATAGGTTTCCTACTTTTCTTGAGAGCTCTGCACTCTTGAAATAACTTGTTGCATTCTCTAGCATGACCTGAAAATCATGCTTGAATGCTTCCAAACTTCGATAGTAGTTGTTCTCTAACCTAGACTCTATGATATCAGGGGATAACGGTACTGGGAACCTGAGAGAAATCCATAACTCCTAACATTATTTATATTTTCAATGTAGAAGCTAGAAAGAGTTAATTGTTACAGAATACACAAACTCATTATAGCCCTGATGTCAAAAAAAAGAGATGAAAAAAATATGTACTAGAACTGACAGCTGAGGAAGATATACCTGTTTGTAAAACTACATTTCTGGGAGACTTGATTCAATTTATTAACTCCATATTTATCCTGAAATATTAACAAGCAAAATTAAGAAGAATGTCAAGCCAAACCTCAATAAGAGTTCACCTACTTTTCATCACCAAATGAATGTGGTAGAAGAGCTTATTTTACCCCATACCTGAGCTTGGCGCCCTGATTGTCCCAATTTGGCCAACTCTGACAGTAGCTTATTTCTACTCTTACTATCAATTTGAGGTTGCTCCCATTGGGTATCTGCATCAAAAAGCTCCCAAGGACTGTGATGAAGTGCATCCCTAGATTCACCCCGGTACAGAATGGCATACCTTTCCCATGGACTATCAGGAAATTCAGAAGATTTAGGCTTGGCAGAAACCACCCGGCCATCCCACCAACTGCCATCATTGCCACCCTCATTTTTCCACCAGACTTTACATTTATCCCGAATGCTCCAATTTCTAGAAATAGCAGCATCATAGCGAGTTCTTTCCACAAGAAAGTCTGGGCAACTAGTCAATTCAGGCAGAGTCAATGTAAATAATTTACCAAACACATTGGAAGTAGGATCTGTAAATTTGAGTATCAATTTGCAGCAGCTCTCCCCTGACCCGGGAAATGTAGAATTTTTAAGCTCTTCAACTTTACAAAATTCTACTGCCCTTACCACTTTTCCCTTCAGTGTAGTAGTCCAAGGGTCTTTCAGGTGAGTATGACTGAAATACTCTTCATGCCCCTGCAAAAGAGAAGCTCCCCACATGAATCATTAAAATAATAAATACCAACATGGAATAAGAGCTAAAACCTATGAGAATAAAAAAGACTGAAGAGTATCTTAAACCACTACTAACCTGTCTCAAATACACAATTTCATCTCCTTGTTGAGGAATATAGCGAAAGTCCTCCTCATGCATTGTCAAAATCAACCAAGATCCTTTTCTATCTGATTGATGAGACTTCTTCATTGGACTAGTGTCACTTAAAGAGTAATTACTACTTCTATTTCTGGTAGACCTCATTCCAACCGTCATCCTTGAATTTGATTCCCATTTCTCACTTGGAAGTTGATTTCCATTTAAGGAACCATTCGGGGCACTTCTACACTTCTCTTCTGATTGAAGTGCACTTGCTGATTTAAACTTACTGGACCGTGTTCTACGATCCCCATCAGCTGTGTCTTCATGGATCTCTGCTGCTGTAGCCATCCCCAGGTTGCGTTCGTTTTGGGTACTTTCTCCCATACCGCCTCCATGTTCTGAATTAGTCTTATCCCTATGTGACTTTGATCTTCTATAAACAACATTATACATCTTTTTTGATTGTATATGTGACTGCTCTGCAACATTCAATGTGGATACTGGACTCTCATTAACTTGAGCATCAAGATCTTGCAATCTATGACCTCTATGATCTGAACCAATCCCATTGGCTTCATCAAACTTGGGTGCTTCTGAAATCAAATTTTCTTTCACCTCTGAGGAACTATGGTGTAATGAATCACACCCATAATCGATATGATTCTCTTGTGAGCATTTTATTTTCAGCTCGGAAATTTCAGGATCCATTGAAAGGCATTTAGATGTTATCCTCAACTTCATTGAAACAGGAGTATTACATTCTTTTAGCTCGGGAGGCTGATCAATGCCATTTTGATGGTGTGTTGCTGCTGCAGGTGCATCCTCAGCAGATACGTTAACCCATTTTAGGGAATCTTGATTGTCCTTGTATTCACTGAAAATTGACTGCACTTCACCATTAGCAAAGCCATCCAAAACTCGTGATAAATCATCCTCATGATACCTTGTGTTGGTTGTTGCTTCACCCATCTTATTATCTGTGTTAGTTTCAATTTCTAAACAAGGAGGTATAGTATCTCTAGCCTTTTCGGTTATTATGCAACTGCCAACATTATTTTTGTTTTCATTAGGATCATCAAGACATTCCCTAAAACCACTATGTGTATCCGAGGACACAGCTTCTCCTGATCGAAGACATTTGGAAGAACGAGCCTTGGCCCCTCCCCATTTTACTATCCCATCAAAGTATGCATCCAGCAGACCCAAATGATCTTCAATCTTATGTGATGACTCTCTAGCTCCTTTACTCTTTATGCTGGGATTCATGTCTCGAGAAGAACATCCTGGATCAAAATAGCTTGTAAACTTTACACCTCTTTTGTTTGCTTCCAGAGAACCTGATCTTGCTAATTTCTCCACCTCCTCACCTTTGCTGTGTATCATGTTCTCTTGTGTCCTGGATTTATTTGAATGCCGAGCTGGCAATTTCAGAACCAATCTCTTCCTGTTCCCAGCATTATGAGATTCGGGCAGTTCATGTATGTTACTAACATCCTTAGATCCATCTAGAGAAACTTCTTTTCCTTTTGAATGCTTGATAAACTCATTTTGCAAAGACCTACCAGATTCATCACTCTCAATGTTTGAATCTTGTATCATTGATTCACTTTCGGAAAAATCATCTATGGAGCCATCTTCATCTTCTCTATCAGTAGATGTTCCACTAATTTTGGAAACAATGTCAGAGCGTTGCGTGCAGCAGCTCTTTGAGGTCTCAATGACTTTGATGATGACTTCTTTCTTGAAGCTTTTCGGCCATTTCTGATTTTCTTAGTGTGCTTATTTCTGGATGAATTGCCATCAGATTCATCCAAATTTCTCCTTTTAACATGCCTCCCAGAAGATGTCATGATCTCAATCTGAAGAGGGAATATCAAGTCAAGTAAGTTGTTATGCCATAAAATATTAAGACAGAAAATTGTGAAATAGAGAATGTAAAAGCAAAGCTTACTTCAGTCTTTCTTTTTTTCCTTTTTGATGTACAACAGACATCATCATTGTTATCCTCCATCTCACTGTCTTCAGCACTGCACCTGATTCACCAGAGGAAGAACTTAAACTTCCTTTATCCCCTCCAGCAGAGAACTCTTCAGTGACACTATACTCTGAATCATTATTGTCACTTTGCACTTCAATTTCTGGTTCCCAATCCATAACGTCTATAAACCCTGGCAATGGATCAACCATTCCATCCCAGTCTGCCAATGGTAGCATTTGAAATTCCTGGTCTAGAGTGATGTCTGGACCAACAGTAAGTTTTAAAGGTGAAGGATGCCACTCTATACCCAAAGCACCTAACCGTCTTTTCTGGTACATGGTTTGATAGGGTTCCTCATATGGTATCATGCCTAAAATGTTCCACCACACACGCTACCTCTGAGAATAAAATTATTGGATAGACAAAAATAGAGGAATAAAAGACCCCATTCATTTGGGTTGCAGAAACTGTAGGAACAAACCTGAGTCACAGAGGAGGTCTTGCATATTCCGTCTATATGGAGCAAGCTGAGTTTCCTGAATTGAAAGAGATATTAATAGAGCAACTGAAATGGAAATGTTAAAAATTCATTTTTACAAGATTTAACTGCTACATGATTCGTTTCTCCTCTCTTTTCCATTTTTCTTTCTTCCATGTTCTACTCCTCTTTCATGAGTTAAAAAGGACACCAGTAACTGTATTTCTTTCCAAAAAGCCAATTCATTTAAGAAGAAGATGATATGGTAACCAGAAGCTTTCACCATAATTTTCTAACAGTGTTGCACAGATCTAAATGTTATTCAAGGAGAGTGCATAAAGAAAAAGCTGACCTGGTCAACTACATTTCCATAAGTATCTTGGATAAGTGGGTGATAATCACCAAGAAAGAACTGTTAACAAGATGAAAACATGTAAGGCAATATTAAAGAGTTATTGAACATGATTAAAGGATGATAAATGCATAACAAGTTATAACTGGTATCTGAGGGTTTTTCTTTCTTTCTTTCTTTCTTTCTTTCTTTCTTTATTATTATTATTATTATTATTGCCCATCTTCTATAGATGGGTAGCCATTCAAGAATTATCTTACAATCAATATTATTATTATTATTATTATTATTATTTGTTTTGAAAACCTATTCCGATACATGAGTACCTGCTCATATTTGGCATCCTGTTGGGCCTCCCCCTGGCCTGTGTTTAACACGTACAACTGGCCAACATCATCTGAAAGTATAATGGATGTTCCATCCCTAGACAACATGGAATGTAGTTTGTAACAATCAAAGCAGCTTTGATATCACTAACATCAATCAACATTCCAGATGGATAATTATAAGAGAAAGCACCATTTGAAAGAAATAGTCTTCAATATCCAATAAAAGGACTCAAAATTAATAAGCTGACAAATATATATGATACATTGGATGCTTGCAATGAAATACTTAAATAAAAATCAAGCCTAAAGAAATGGTGTAAAAATCTAGCATGATATTTTATATGTAGAATTTCATATATATATATATATATGGATAACATGGGTATTCAAACCCTTGGCCAAACTAATCACACAAGTACTTGCAAACCAAACAAGGAAAAAAAAATTGATTTAAAATCTAACGATGATGACATGCAACCTCTGATGCATATTTGACACATACAGAAGTCTATAGAAGGCCAGATTCTGAATGTATTAATAAAGATCCCAATTGCAAGAAAATTCGAATGAAACTACATACAACTTCAGCATTTCGGGGGATATTATGCATAAGAAACTATGATGTACTGGAAATAAAAGAAAGCTTTATAAACTGGTTGAGTTCCCCCCTTACTATTATTATCATTATTATTATTTTCATTGGAATCAGAAAAATAAGAGTTCCACAAGTAGTTTGGTTCTTACGAGGAAAACTTCCCATCAACCAACTTGAAATGTGAAATTTCATATATCCAAATAGGCTTGCCTTCCCATATCTACAAGAATACAAAAATATCAATAAAAGTATAAAACAGAAAAAAGACCAACAGGAAATTTGAAGGTTATAAGGGGCTGGAAACTCACATCCCAAACTATAGTTCTTCCATCATAGCCAGCACTCATAGCTATCCGAGGGTTAAAAGGGTGACCATCTAATACATATGTCTTCAACAAAAAAGAAAAAAAGGGTAAAACTTAACCATGAAAGAGGACAAATCCAACTTAATACACCTTAAAAAAAGACACATAAGCAACAAAAAAATAGGTTGCTAAGTGCTAAGCAATGAAACACAAAACAAAAAATAGTAAAGAAATAAACCAAACCATACAGGTAAAATTTGGCTTCTAAGATGCAAATTGAAACAAAATAGGTGCAGAAGACCTCAAAACAATCACTTGATTAAAATGGGGCTGTGCTTGGGTATAGAATTTGATAATTACCAGGAATTTAAATTCTGAAATCATAGATTTTATGAATTGGATAGATTTTGGAAAAAAGAAATCAATATAACAATCTCAAAAACAAATGCTCATCTTAATTGAATTTATGGAATGCAATAATTGATACTGGGTTAAAATTGGTTTCAGGCATACAAATCCACTTCATACCATTCCATTTTCCTTCATTAGTTGCACGCATTGCACCTTCATTTTGCTTAGGCTCGTGTTAGTTAGACTTAGACAATAGATAGTCATGCTGTAAAAGAGAGTTGGAACTAATTCTTATCTATCACTTAACAGACAAGCAGAGACTTGATAATGAATTTTTCAGTCAAAACCAGAGCTGCATGAAGTCAATCATTACAGTGAGTTGATTAGCATCCACTATAATAAGGCAAAAGGTAATTTTCTTATCAGCCTAGGCATTTGGCCATATAGTGGCCAAATCCTGGTCTTCCTAAATGCAAGCAAAAAATAACAGGCTTCCAGAAATATTCACTAATCAGAAGAATAAATGACTTACAGATTCAGTATGACCAGCCAAAGAATGAACTAAGCTACCATCAGCAGCATTCCATACACATATTCTGCAATCTGCAATGTGATAATATATTACTTAAATTTCTGCATTTACACCCCTCCTCGAAATTCAATAAAAAAGCATCATGGCACTGGCATGGTGGTGAATATGCCAATAAAGCCAACAGGCAACAGCTAGGATTAATCACCCAACCACTGCTACGTCTTTTCTTTTTGTTTTTTTGATAGCATGGATATTTGGACTTTTGGCCTATGGTTGTTTTGCTCAATCCACATATAGGCGGGCATGGCCCTTGGAATTGTTTGCATTCAAATGGAAAGAAATTCAAAACCATTTCATACTACAGTGAAGTAAAATAAATGCAACCAATTATAATGGTGAGCATTAGAAAACCATTTCTTATGAAGGATGGGTAAATTGTCAAAATAGAAAAGTCACAAAAAAGTACACAACCATAAAGGTTTCTACAAACAAAGAACATAAAAACCAATACATGAAATGCATGCAAGTGTAAAAGTCAAGCAACATTTGTCATTGAGGATTGGTCTTTATTAATTAAAGCAAATGGAATAATAAAGAAGTGTGTTCCAGTGGGTGGGTTTTTAATTCTTTTATTTTTTATTTTTTGTTGGTGAGTTGGGAGTGAGAGGTGGGGGATTTTCCACATCTTGTGTTTTTTAAGAGAAAACTGAACAAGTTATTCTAAATAAGGAAAAAAAGTACCCATTATAGCAGCAAGGACAAAGCGATTATCTAGGCTCCAGATTATCATATTAACACCACGAGGTGTTGGAAGAATTCTTTGATGTGGGCCCCCTCGTGGAGGTTGAGGTGGCATTGGTGGGGGAGGAACTTTAAGATGATAAGCTCGCATCCAACGGCCTACTTTTCCCTGAGCCAAGCAGTAGTAACATAAATTAATATCCAAGTGCCCAAAGGGTAGGTGGGGTGTTGAGATCATAAACTTTTTAGAAAGGAAGAATCTTACTCTTTAACATAAGAAAGCTAAGAGAACATAAAAGGTAAAAGGAAATAAAAATTTACATGTGATTTGTGTGATCTTGGAATCCATATGATTGCACTGCCATCATGGGAACAGGTAACTATGTTGTCAAAAGCAAACCTGAGAATATGAATTTGAGCACATAAAATATAACCATATGGCATGATTATCGTCTTTAAAATCTTAAAAATGCAAAATAAAAATACAAATAGGCAGCTATTAGAAAGTGAGAGTGTTTTATCTCACAACCTTTCTTGTTCTGAAAGCATTTACTGTTTTCCCCAGAAGACAAAACTCACCAGGAATTTCTAAATTTTGGAACATTCTCTTCCTTTGAGATGTCTATCATTGAAAATCTAGATGCTGTAGCACAACCACTGTATTTGGAAGCAATATATTAAGATCATGAATGAAAAATTTACTTAGGAATATTTAACAATAGAATAGGGCAAACAAACCTAAATTGCACGTAATTAACATCATTCTCATGGCCAGATAACACGTCTATCTCATGATTGGGTTTCTCAGGGTCATCTGAATTGGATCTACAAGCATTCCACACCTGAAACATCAACAAAATGAACTTGTAATCTCCACATAGAATTACAAATAATAAATAAAGCATAAAAAAGCTTGTTGCTATAAATATATAAACATGATGGCCAAAAATACACCCAAACACACACATACACACACACACACACATCACTATCTAAATGAAATATGCATAAGATATTCAAAAAAGATATGCATAAGATATTAAGATGTACCCTAGCTAGAGTATCTGAGCTACCAGTGACAAAGACAGTTCCACTAGCATTAAATGCACAGCAAAAAATTTGATGGTTCCGTTGATTGTTACTTGAGGATGGACCACTGTTCCTTCCTGAAACCATTATTATAACCATATAATTTCAGTTCCTCAATACAGTAGTCAGTCAATCATGATTGCTATTAGAGATTGACCAACCAGCTGCAGAATCTGAGGGCCGTGAAACATATATCTGTGGAGGAACTTGGATATTCCTAGCATCCCATAACCTACATGTTCCATCATCAGATGAGCTGCAAATGACAGAGAAACACTAGAATTAATTGCTATTTGCAAAGGCAAAAAGAAATGCATCAAAAGAGTTAAAAGGTCATTCTTTATAGGACAAAGAGTAGACAATAATTATATTGTTACCTCTACAATAAGTCATTAGGAAAAATTATCTAACTGTTCAAATGTGGAAACCGAGTGAACTTAAACACTACAAAGAGAATAAAGCAATTAGGAGAAAAAAGAAACATAATTACTGGATATAAATATGAAAACTTAAGAATCCTTGATTTTGAACTTTTGTATGCCTCAGTTTAGTATTTAACCTTCATTAAACAAATACAAGCCTGAGACCAGACCATAAATTGGATATATTTATGGGGAAGCATGATAAAGAGGCTTACAGGGTTCAAAAAAAAAAAAAAAAACCAGATGCATTACCGAAATAGCAAAAAAAAGATATCCAAGGGAGCTATATAGGCATTTTCAGATGTACCAAAAAAATGAATAGTATAAATCAATGTTAACTATGTTAAAACAACAGTGCAGAATATAAGGCCAGAGGATGTCAAAATTAGCCTTACGATAGAAGCTGGTATAGAGAGCTAGGCCGGGGACTAAATGCAATAGCAGTAACTGCTCCAGTGTGTCCACGTAGAACCGAAATTGGCAGCCCATCTGGCAAATGCCACCGTAAAAAGGAAGAAAGAAGCTAAAATTAAGATAAGGGTATTGTTGATAAAAAAAAGGTTATTAGATTGCCTGTGATGCTTACAACATGGATGATACAGTCATTTGAAGAGGATGCTACCAGAACATTATTGTAGCTCACAGCCAAGTCAGTAATGTCACCCTTCCAGGCATATGGGACATAAAATATAAGTCAGAAAAATAAAAATGAAAAACAAATGGTAAATATATATATATTATAGATCATCCAAACTCACTTCATGTCCACGACAGCTGGCCAAGCAATATGCAGTCTCCATAGACCAAATTTTTACAAGGCGATCATCCGAACCAGTAATAACATACCTCCCTGATCGATCAAATATTGCTGCAGGATTCACAACAAGAAAACAAGTAATTAGCTACAAACTCAAGGTAACAAGTGGAATCCTTATGCCATCCTTAAGGTGCTGTTAATGGCAAAGATCATATGTACAAAGACAACAAACTTTCAGAATGAATTGAAAAAAAAATTAAAGCTGTCATGATAATAGAAAGGGAAAAAAAGAGAAAAAGGAAAAATAAAATGACATTTGCAAACTAAACCTTTTAGCATCCCTCTCCAGAGTCCAAATAAATAAAAAATGCTTAATATACAATGGAATAGAATGACAAAGTCAATCTTCGCTTACCCTAAGATGAGGTGACTAGTTATAGGTGTGAATTAAGTGTAAGATTGTTATCAATATATATATATATATATATTACCAAACTCCAAAGTGAAGAAAGAGTTATCAAGTAAAAACCATACCACAGTACACAACATTGCGGTGTCCCCGGAGTCTCTTGATATTCTGCATCTTCTGCACCATGGTTGATGGCTGTGCGATGGCATAACATGCAGAACGAATAGGTGGTGGCCGGTGCTTGCAAAACCACCTCCAATTTCCCTCAAAGCCAGCCCACGAACCTGATCAGCATGGACATGTGGCCAATGCATGTGAGCAGGAGGATGTTTGACTTCTTTTGCTCCTTTATAGCTATCATCTGAAGAGGGAAGAGAACCAGAACAAACAAGCCAAACAATTTTAACTTCACTGCAAGAGAAAATCAGTTAAGACAGTTGTGGTACCCTTCCAAATAGGCATTGTTGTACCATACATTATTGAAAAAGTGAAAGGACTCAAACAAAATTGAATTATGCATCATTGAAAAGGAATTGAAAGGCCATCACAATTTTTCAGAGGGTTGGGATTTGGGTACAAAATTTATTTTGAGACATGGTACTCTCCTCTTGTACGGAAACATAAGAAATTTGAAAGGATATAGCCATTAAGTATAAAATAAAAGCATACAAAATATGCAGAAGCTCAAAAGATGTCACCTACAGCTCAGAAGTGAGAATGAACCCCTCCCCAGCAGGGTAGGAACATCTGCTGCATTTGGAAAATGTCTGCCATTTATGTCTTGTGATGGCGAGACTGTACTCAATATCAATTGCCTCAGAAGCTTTACTATGTGATCCTTTTCAATGTGAGGATTCCTAAATAAGCATTTTGATACAAACATAATTAATTTTTTCTTTAAGGAAAAGATAAGATGAAACTGACGAAACTAGCTATAAAGTTATCAAGTTGCCTAATGAATGGTAAAACAGAAGGATGCATGTGCAAGACTGTAACCTTTTTTCTTTGCAGCTATGGCTTCAACATACGCAACCAGCTGAAAACAAGAAAACAAGAAAACAAGAAGCAGATTGTATACCTTTCAACCAGCTGATCATGATTCAATGGGAAGGACATGCCATCATCATTTTCGTCCCCACTATGGGCTCCTTTCCTAGAATACCATGAATGGTATCTTCTAGGTAGAAGTTGATGTTCAAGAATTTCATTCTGTAACTGTTCAAATGTCCTTTGACATGGACCATTTGATAGGAAATGCATAATCAAAAAATAAACTTCTCTGGGGTCAACATCCACAGCAGCCTCCACAGACTGACTTGTCCCTGGATCTGCAAGTTGAGCATTCTCACGCACCTTAATTGTAAAACTTAAAGGTTTCATTTTAACAGAAGGTGAATCAGTGGAAGGAACATATTTTCGGAGAGCCATGTTTCCTGCAAGTTAGACAAACATAGTCAGCAACATTACACTTGAAATAAAGAACCTGTAAGACATCTGAACTATTGCACATTGCTCTTAAGTAACATATATAACTTGATCAATTGGCATAAATTGCCAATATATTGTTTAAGGCCTATAACTGCAATGATCCTGAATTTAATTATGTGAATAAAAAGAGTTAAAAAAGAGTCTCCTTCTGTAGCAACTAATCAAGTTATTTAATCAGTAAAGCAAGTTAGCTTACTTTTATTTAAAAAAAGAAAATTTAACACAAAATCTTTCCAAGACAGCCTATAATAGGCTAGATCTTGTTCATACCTCCTATGGCTCAAAAGAATAATCAATACATATGTTACATGTGTCCTAAGCTATATATTTTAACTTCCTTAGCTGAAGCTCTAGACCAAAACCTAGACCTAACAGCATGCAAGCAAACTCTACAGCAATATAGCTAGCAGATGAAAATTTGTAGATATTTTCATGTTTTTCTGTTCTAGTAAATATCAATCTTAAAGAACCAATAAGGATGCCCTCACTCTTGTAGCTTGGATAAACACTTCAAACTAAAGTGATTCCTTAAGAGGCGCCTAGAAAATATGCAAATGTCTCAAGGGTGATTTTTGTGTTTTTGGGCCACTTCCATAGGTGATTGATTAACAGAAATTCATGTATAAAGTATAGGGTAAAATATTTGTTAAAGAATATTGGAAACTAATGTGGTTTGGTCGTGTAAGTTTAGTAACTTAACTTTAGTGCCTAAGTTATTAGGATTTGAAAGTATGCACATTAATGGAATATACCATTAATGATGAATTCAGTAACCGCAGGCCCATGTCATCCAGATACTAGAAACTTCTTAATTTCTACTTCCCCAAAGTAGATCCCATATGCTGCCCCCACTGTGTAAAATACCTTATCTAATCATCAATTATTTTGCTCTATCAGTCTATTGAAATAACCAAGGAGCTCAACTTGACCAGCATAATCCATCCTTTCTAGCTTTATCTACTCTTGGCCAACTGTAGCTGGACTTTAAAAAAATTAAAGAAACCAAGATCTCTCACTAGCCTAAAAATTCTCAACTTTACATAAAAAGATAAAATTGAGCATCCACTAAATTCATTCAAGTCCAAGTAATTAGTTTTCTGAAGCCAAAACCATGAAACCGAAATCAACAACAATTAGAAAGCAGAATAGGCCCAAACTTAGAGTAGAAGGAACAAGAACCTTCAAATTGTATCAAAGATATCAACCAGACAGATAGTCCCTGCAAACCTGATGCTCTCCCTTATACATTTTAAAAATCCACAATGCAAAACACCTGCAATCCCAAGAATAGCAAAGAAACACCAAATTCAAATCCTCGTCACTCCCTAATATACAAAAAAACAACAAATTACAACTCAAAAAATGAACGTGAAGCCCAAATTCATAACCAAATCAATACATGGACCATAACATCCTCAAAAAAGATTCATACAAACGAGCATTGGAAAAACTGGAATCTGAAACGGAAAAAACTGCAAAAGCTTCATCCTTATGTCGCCGATAAATTGAAAAGGTTTCGAAGGTTCTTCGTGCATTCAACTTCGCGGATTCCAAGTGAATGGGGATCGAAGAGAGTTAGCGCAACTGCGGAAAGAAAATGGAAAGGAAAAACTGATGAATGAAAGAGGGAATTACCGAGTGCGTCGCTAGCTGGAGATGAGGAGTTTAGATTGTGGGAAGGAGCTCTGCGAATTCTGCTCGGGGTTTAGTGGAGTTTACTTTATACAAAGAAGAAAGATTTTCTAGAGAGAGAAATGGAGAAGAGAATGGAAGAAAACGGACAAGAGGGCTCAAACGCAGCGTTTTACACCTTTACGCTCACTCCCGTGTAAATAACGATGAAAATTTTAATTTTTTTATTTAAAAAAATTAATTTTATTAATTTTTAAATAAAAATATTAACTTTTAATTTTTTTATTTAAAAATGTTAATTTTTATTTTTTTATTTAAAATATCTATTTTTAATTTTTTATTTAAAAATTAATTAAATGATAATAATAATATGATAAATAAAATTTTTAATTAAAATATTAAAAATTAATATTTTTATATAAAAAATAAAAAATTAATATTTTTATTTAAAAACTAATAAAATTAATATTTTTAAATAAAAAATAAAATTCACATCTTTAGTTGTCTGTACACCCCCACCCACCTCCCCCAAAACAAAGTTTTAACTATATTTTTTTTTAGAAAAATAATAATTAGAGGTGTTAGTGTATTAGAGGTATTAATGTGTAGGAAGGGTATTAAACCCAAAACATGAGATGTAAATCACGACCTGCCCCAAAGAACAACAAGTGACCGTTGCACCGCACGTGGAATGCAAGTTTTAGCTACTTAAATTGTTTGGTGTTAATTAGATGT